CCGGTATTTGCTTGCTAAATTCCTCCTCTGCATGAGGAGTATAAGGATAGGATTTGGTAGTTATCGTATCATCATCCTTTTTTAATTTAAGCGAAGCATATATACCGTTCCTTTCGCATAGCTTTAGTGGTTGATCATCAAAGCATGGAGAAAGTTCCTCTTTAAAGGATTTTACAAGTTCCTCTATCCTTAAAGAGTTCTTTTGGCTCTTGTTTTCAACCTTCAAGATTATCTCCTTATCTGTTGATTTATCCGTGCTCTCAGGGCATGCACCAGAGGGACTAACCTCCTGCGATATACCCCGTGCGATCCAGTTTATATGATGACTAGGATACAATCTCTGAAAGAAAACATTACAAGCCTCATCAATTCCTTCTGCTTCAGAAGCTTTCAACCACCATTTTTCTTTTTCCAAAATTGTGATCTACTTCTTGCCTTAGTTTCACCGGTCTATAACCGTTTCTAACTTTCAAAACTTCAAGATAAGCAAGAATAGGGATTTTATGACCTCCTAGGATAATGTGGTCGTTATCCTAAGTAAATGGTCTAACTTCTGCTTGCCCTCACAAAAAGCTATTTCCGAGAATGAAATCTGCTTCTAAGTAATCCACTATTAGGACTTCCCTTAGAGTAAATTTTTTCTCGTTTAACAGTACAACCACGTTTTCAACCACATTCGTGATCATACTTTGACCTCCATCTGCAACCGTATTTAGGATTTGTCTTTCCAATGATTTCCAAAGCTCCTCTAGAAAACATTGTTTTCTTGCAATACATTTGGTTGCTCTAAATAGAACTACGTTGGGCTAGTGTCAAACTACACCAATTGGTGCACAAGGTGCTCCGGTGATCTCAAGTCTAAGGATCACATGTACCACCATCCGTAGACACTGGGGTTATCATCCATATGGAATCCTCTGATGGGTCTGTCTAGTGAACTTGCCTCTAGTAAGCACCCATGCGTTGCACCAGGTTGTCGGCAAACAACCTTGACAAGTGAGATCAATCACTGCCTTTCGACAGGGTCATTTAACACTATGATAGCCTTACCGTATTATCTATGTCTTTGGTCAGAATAATACTGGGGCTACGGACGTTTCTAGAATAGCCACCATATGTGATCATAGGATTCTCACTATTAAGATTTGAAACACTTGATACTCTCGTCACGGTTCTACCATCCTAAGGACATATATCATTGCATATAACTATGATTTACACGATATAAAAGAATATGCCTTTTATTGATAAATAAACATTTATTACAGAGTCAATTTTTACAATAATAGATTGACTCTAGGGCACCTACTCCAACAATCTCTCACTTGCATTGTAGCCAATCATTCATGTATTTAACATCGAATGACCCAAGTGCTCATCATGCTTTTGCTCCAATAGAAACTTTAACAGTGGGTTAGTAGGTATTCTGCAAATCTACACATTCTCTTTCTGATTGACTTCTCAAATCAAATTGAATTGACTAAGTAAGTGTTTGGATTACTAGTGAGATCGTGATTCCTCAGCCACAACAATGGTTCCATTGTTATCACAGTAGAACTTTACTGGATCAACAATGCTTGGAACCACATCAAGTTCAGTAATGAACTTCTTGATCCAAACCGCCAATATGGCTGTATTAAACAATGCGTTATACTTAGCATCAATCGTAGAATCCGCTATAGTACTTAACTTCGAGCTCTTATAGCTCACTATAGCTCTATTAAGACAAAATATAAACCCAGATTGTAAGTGAAAATCATCTTTATCTATTTGGAGATTAGCATCACTGTATCTTCTTACAGTAAGCTCATCTTCCCCTCCATAATCCAAGATCATATCTTTAGCCCCTTTTTGGGTATTTAAGGATGTCCATTGACACTTATCCAGTGTCACACTTGGATTTGATTGATATCTTCTACAAATGTTGAATGCACATAAGACATCAATCTGAGTACATAACACATTGCTCACTAAGATCCTATTGATATCTTCTGCAAGTGCTTAATGCACATAAGATATCAGTCCAAGCATGCAATCACAACATCACTCTCTTGGATCCGATTGATATCCCCTATAAGTGTTTAATGCACATGAGACATCAATCTGAGCATACAAGATGGATCCACTTGCTGAAGCATGTGGGATCCTCTTCATTCTATCTCCCTCAATGTGTGGTTTAGGACACATATCCCCAGAGAGATAAACACTATGTGCCACCGGAAGAGATTCTTTCTTTGATTCTTCCACACTGAATCCCTTCAGTACCTTGTCTATATACTCCGACTTGGACTAAGCAAACTTCCTAATCTATTACGATAGATCTTCATTCCGAGAATGTAAGTTGTTTCTCTTAAGTCCTTTATGGAGAATCACTTGGATAACCAAGTGTTTACTGACTGCAAGTTTAATATATCATTCCCGATCAGAAGTATGTCATCGACATACAACACTAGGAATGTCATTGTGCTCCCACTCACCCTTTTGGAAACACATGTCTCATCTTCGTTCTTGATGAAACCAAAGTATTTTATGACTTCATTGAAACAAATGTTCTAACTCCTTGAAGCTTGCTTGAGTCCATAAATAGACCTCTGCAACTTGTATATCCTTTTAGTTTGTCCATCAAGAATGAAACTACCGGGATGTGCCATATACACATCTTCTTCAAGGTTTCCATTAAGGAAAGCATCATTTACATCCATTTTCCAATCTCATAATCATGATATGCAACAATCGCAAGCATAATCCGGATGGATTTAATCATGGCAACCGACAAACGGTTTCTTCATTGTCAATACCAAGAATTTATTTGAAACATTTGGCAACTAGTCGTGCCTTATAAGTATGCACCTTGCCATCCATGTCAGTCTTTGTCTTGAAGACTCATTTACACCCTATGGGTTTTACCCCTTTAGGTGAATTCACCAGAAACCATGACTGGTTCCGGTACATGGAGTCTATCTCAGATTTTATGGCTTTAAGCCATTTAACAGAATCTAGAGCCAATACAGATTCATCGTAGGTTTTGGGTTCATTGTCTTGGTAGATCAGTACGTCACCATGTTGAGTCACGAGAAAACCATATATCTCGTACTCATGACGTACTCTCCCAGATCTACGTAGCTCCTGTGCTACCTGAGGTGGTTCATTTTGATCCACAAGTTGTGGAGTAACCTCTTCCTGATGTTTAACCACCTCCTGTGGCACATCATCTCGTCCTTCGTCTAATGTATCTTGTGGTACTAGAACTTCATCGAGTTATACTTTTCTCCCGCTAGTACTTCTTAGAAAAAATTACTTTTCTAGGAAAATACCAGTATGAGCAACAAAAGGTTTTGTGCTCTTTTAGACGATAGAAATAGTATCCTTTGGTCTTCTCAGGATACCCCACAAATACATTTTCGCAGGATTTCGAGCGTAACTTGTTCGAAGTCAATTTATTGACATAAGCTTCGCAACCCCAATTTCTTGGCATAACCCTAGAATTATGTGGGTAGATCACAAAAACCTCATCATGGACCTAACTCCCACATTCCTTCAGGTATGTTTAAATCAACTTGTCACATTCGGCGTAGACGTGACTTTGAGAATATTCTTATTATCCATTTTTGAAAACATATTATTATGAAACAGTTCCATAGAATATTATTTATACTAAAAGACAACAATCCATTAGTAAATCAATATTCTTACTTGTCCAAAGTGGACACAGAAAAATTATTTCTAGAAACTGAACAAATATCATAACAATTCACAAGTTCCAAGTAACAAGCCCGTAGGCAAAATCAGACAATAAGATCATACAGCTAATGCAACACCATATGCTCCATGTCTAACTAGTAGGTCTACCTCTCTCTCGGTGAGCAATCTACTCTGCCGTAGTCACTGCACATTAGAACAAATGTGAGTAGCACATCCTGTGTCAATGACCCAAGATGTTGACGGGAGAAGTTAATCTCAATCAAGAACATACCTGACGAAGAAGTAACATTCTTCTTCCTTTTTGCTAGAAAGGCCTTGCAATGTTTCCTCCAGTGGTTGGGATTCCCACAGTGAGGACAAACGCCCTTTCTATCTATAGTAATTCCTTCCAACGACTTCTGAGCCCTTACCTTCTTACTTGAGTTGGCTTCAACCAACGTCAATGTTTATGACATTCTCATGCCTGACTCAGTAGCATTCAACATATCCAGAAGCTCGAAAAGGGTATTTTTCTTATCAGTGGCGGGCCAGGATTTTTGCCTGGGGGGCCTCCACGGCTCGGCCATTGTTTGCCAAACAACTAGTGAAAACTTTTAAAAAACCATCAAACTTTAAGCAAAAGAGTTTACAGCAACCACAATCCATCAAAAATATTCCACACAAATTTAGAGTTTAATTACAACTCTAACACAAGTAAAATACATAAAAGTTTACAAAAAGATAGATTAAAATCACCAAAGAAGCAGTCAAACTTCATGTTGTATAACTCCAAATCCAGACGTTAATATCAAAATTCAACCGTCTAGATTAAAGATCCACACATCCTCTGCGTATTGACTAAAAAATCAAGTTAGAATGGTATACTTAAAGATTTGAATATATGAATATTGATTGTTTAAATATGAAAGCAAGTTAGAATGGTATACCTGAAGATCTTCAATTTAACACGATTTTCCGCTTCGATATATTCTGAAAGTGTTCAATGATATCTTCATTTTCAATTGTAGCAAAAACTTCATTTTCAATGTAAACCACCAAGCAATTTTCATCCAATCGTCTCCCATTCGATTACGCAAACTATTTTTCACAAGATTCATTGCAGAGAACACCCTTTCAACTGTTGCAGTAGGCACAGGCAAAACCAATGCTAATTTAATAAGCAAGAAAACTTTGTTGTAAGCAACATCCTTCTTAAACTCAACCATTTTTTTAGCAAGGTTGGGAATCCCTTCGACATGAGTGAAATTGGCATTGGTGCTAGCATCCTCATAATAGTTTTCAAGTTGATAATCGAGCAACTAAATATCGTGTTGAGGAAAATCGGTAGGATAGAACTTTGCAAATTCAAGTAATCTATCTTTGTTAAATGCAACAAAAGAGTTACTTGGATCAAGAGATGACATACATTGAAGCAACCTCATATTTACGTCATCAAAACGATTATTGAGTTCTTGAATGTTATCCAAAACTGCATACATCAATTCCACCTTAAAATGATGTTTATTCGTAATTGGCGCAATCCCCCATTTTGTCCTCCCAAAGTTATCTTCCATATTCTCCAAGATTGGTATGTCATTATCTTTACACATATCAGAAGCTTCTTTTAACAATATGTCGAAACAAGTGTCTTCATTTCTCATTTTATGCAATTGACGCTTCGAAATTGTACAAATTGTATGGCATTAAGAAGATCCTGATCTTTTCTTTGTAATGCTTGTGACAGTTCATTTGTGATTCCCAATACTCTTTTCATTAAGAATAACAAAAAGAAGAATTCAAATTTCTCCATGATTCGTAATAAACTCCTTGCTTGACTTTTGTTTTGCTAACCGTCTCCTTCAATCTCAATCACCCTAAGCACATCAACAACAGAAGAAAATAAATTTATGACACTATGAATTGTCCCTATGTGTGAACCCCAACGTGTATCTCCTGGTCGTTTAATAGTGCATTCTTGATTCAAACCTCGTCACATATAAAGATCACTATTAGAAATCAAAGATATCACATTTTCATATTGTTTATCACGTAGAAGATCTCTACGCTTACAAGATGCCACTATAGTGTTTGATAACATAGAAAGAGATTGAAAAAATTCACCCAATGTCGAATGGTTACTTACAACTTTGACTAGTGCCAATTGGAGTTGATGAGAGAAACAATGAATGTAGAAAGCTGATTTATTTTCTCTCAATATCAAAGTCTTCAAACCATTGAACTCACCTCTCATATTGCTTCCTCCATCATAACCTCGCCCCCATAAACTTTTCAAACTCAATCCATGCTTTACAAAAAAAACATCTATTGCAATTTTCAAGGACTTTGCAGAAGTATTCTTAACATGTACAACCCTGATAAAACGTTCAATAACACAACATATTTTGTCCACATAGCGAAAAACAATAGTCATTTGTTCTTTCATTGCCATATCACGAGATTCATCAACCAGTAAAGAGAATAATTGTTTATCTCTTACAATTTCTGCAATAATTTTCTTGGTCGTCAAATGAGCATAAACACTAGTTAATTCCCTTTGGATGTTGGGGGCCGTCATTTGATGGTTTTTCAGAGCATTTTCCAACACAACTTTTTTTATGTCGTCATTATGATTGGATAGAAACTTCAATAGTTCCATAAAGTTATCTTGATTTTCAGATTCAACCGACTTGTCATGACCACGAAATGCTAATCCTTGATGTAAAAGAAATCTAATGCAATCAATTGATGTATTCAAGCAAATGCGATAGTCCAATTTGGCCTTTTTCGACACGCAAGCAAGATTTACATCGATGTGTTGCCTTTGGTTTATCAAATCAACACACTTGGCATGACATTGGTTATGAGTACTAGAATGATCTCCAACATGTTTTTTCACTTTCGCTTTATCTTTCCAATTATTAAATCCCTTACTCACAAAAACTTCACCACCTGCTTGGTCACCATAATCAGTTTTGAAAAGATAAGAATTTAAACAAAAGATGCAATCTTTTGCCACATTATATTCCATCCAACTTGGACCTTCTTTGTACCACTCTAGTGTAAACCTACGCTTTTTATCTCCAAAAAGAGTGAAAAGAAAGTTATGATCTTTAGGTTGGCAAAGACCTTTCAACAAGTATGCTCTTTGAACTTCCTCATTTTGCTTGTCAGTACAACAAATCTTGTTAATTGGTATCCTCAATCCTGGATCAATTTCAAGCTCATCTAAATTGAACATCCCGATCGAAGGTTGAGCTTCTTTTACTTGGTGTTGTTGTTGTTGATGTGGGGCTTCTTCTTCTAATGGGATTTGATTAACCTCAATATCAATAGAGTCTCCATCAACAATTTCTGTTGGAATTTTCTTTAATCTCTTGAAATAATTGGATATCATAGCTATCAAATAAAAAAAAGATAATATGATACATGTAAAGAATGACCGATGAAACTTTAATTAATAAAATTACAATGACTGACTTATCACGTTTATAGATGTAACAATTAGATCTAATTAAAATATTGTTTTAGCAATTAATTAATCATTTTATTGTGTTAATTTTCTTATATTTAAAATCATTTTAGTGAAATTTAAAAACTTATATAATTTGCTAATCAATTTTTTGACTTATTTAAATTATTGGCATAGATCAACTAGATTTAATTTAATTACTATTAGAGCACACTTAGTCAACTAATCACATTATAAAATAATAAAAATATTATTATTAATATATTAATGATTGGGGCAAATCAAGTTGTCCTCTAATTATATAAAAAATTAATTTTATAAATGTATTTGTGATATCTAAAGTCACAAATTAATAATAATGTTTTCAACCAATTACAAAATCAAACAAACACAAAACAAACTCACAAGATTTATACTTTTTTTCATCAGAATAAAAAACCTCCATAAAAACAAATATGATTTAACCCTAAAATAAACTAAACTAAAATAAGTAATATACATACCTAAAACTGATAAAGTAGAAAATAGTCTTCAAAAGTTGTAACTTCAACCGAGCCAGTAAGACAAAGAGAAAGAGAGGCGCACTCACTAAATAAAATTAGGGATACAAAAGTTGTGGTCTTATAGAGATTGGCTGCATATGGCATATATATAATATATTTATACTAATGAAACTAGTGGGCTAGCGCATAGCCGCAATATTTATGATGGGTGAGCCTACTACATTAACATATTATAACATTTAGTTTGATTGTAGGCCATATATATTTGTACCTTTTTGATATAAAAATCATTAATTATAAATATTTGCAATTTTTTTTCAAAATCTGAGGGTAGGCCCTCAAGGATACTAGATCCGCCCCTGCTTCTTATCATCCTCAATGAAGTCATAGACAAATTGAGAGTAAGAATCTGACAAAGACTGTAATATTAGGTCTATTGTTAAACCTTCATTAAGTCTACATCCCAAAATCTCAAGTTTGTTCATATACTCGGTCAACTTGAGCATATGATCGCCAATTTTGGTACCCTCTTCTATCATAAATCTGAATAATGACTAAGACACCATATGTTTCTCATTTCTTTGAAAAAAATGAAGAATAGAAGCCAAGTCCATTCTTTGGCACTGCTATCGCAGTAATGGTGTCATTGATGCAAGCACAATGTATCTAGTCATTTTTGCTTTCGCATCATGTGTATGCTTCACATATACATACCCAGTCTCATGGATAAAACTATCAGCAGGCTCTGGTGACAAAGCCTGCTCAATGGTGTATAATATATCGCTTGATTGAAGTATATCGTTCATACTTCTATACCAGTCAATGAAATTCTCACCATTCCATTTCTCTCCTAGTTTGATGATTTATTGCAGTGATGTTGGGATCATTTTGCTCAATTAAGTGAAACTACAAGTACAGAATAAAGCAAAATGATTATCATGTTTATTTTTATTTAATAAGACCTTTTATTAAATAATCACCCATTATTTTCCTCAAGCCAATAGCCCTCACTATTAACTTCGGAAAGCTTGCTGGCTTTCCTAATGGACTAAGATCCCATCTAGCCCATTTCAAACCTTTGCTTTGGCGAACAAGCCAAAATGGGTTGATTAGGTAGGCCAACAAACTTAATCCACACCAGTTGATAGCTCCCACTACCAACCTCAAATATGAAGCAAGCCAATCACACAATCCAACAACCTAGCCATCATCCTCAAATCTGATTCCCAGTATCAGTAGAGTGGACACTACATGTCGCCACGTACACATAACGAGTGTACTTCTCTACTATGCCTATAACGTATTTATCAACCTTCGCTTTAGCGAACAAGTAAAACTGTCATTTTAAGTCGACTCATCACCATTAAGAAAAACTCCAATGAATTTTAACCTCCCACTGGTAGAAGTGTACCATTCGCTTTGGCAAACAAGGTTCTGACGAACAGTGGTTTGATTAAAACCATGATGATAGAAGGCATATGTCACTTAATATACTCAAGTTGAGGGTTTTTTTATTTAATGTCTAACCAGATTATTATCTTTGTTAGAATGTCATTGTTTGACATGTTATTGAACATTCAACATTAGTATGCATTCTAAACAAAATAAAACGTACTGGTATATGGCCCACTAAAATCGATTTCCTTAAGCCTAGAGGAATCGGTGGGTCAACCTAGGGGTTTAAAAGTAAATCTTGAGTCTTCAAGTTATTCCTCTTTATAGCTCCTTTGTTTCTTCTTCACGATCATTACAAAGTATTTTATAATAAAAATCATATTCTAATTTACATCGATAAAATAGAAACCTCGCGTTACATATGAGGGGAGTGAGATGAGAAGAAGAAATACATGGAGATATAAGAGAGAGAGAGAGAGAGAGGCAGGAGTCGCAGGTCCTTTTTCTTTATAAAATTACAAGCAAACCCAAAATTACAAAAACATACCAAAGGTCTAAGGCTCATGTACCGGGCACCATGCAATTTCAAACAAGAACATTGCATACATCCAAAAATTAACATCTTGAATTTGGGTGGGTGGAATTATTAAATTACCCTTTTTATATGTGCAAAATTATTATTAGCTTTAGAGGTTCAAAAACTGCAATTTGGCCCCTGTGTGAAAAACGGAACAGTAGCTTTCCTGCCGCAACGAATAAATTATTCACCCCGGCGAAATTCATACACACATGGTTGTTGCGGCAAAGTTTTATTTTGCCGTGGCAAATACCATAAACTTCCAGAAAACACAAAACGTTCCAGAGACTTTGATGCCGCGGCAAAATTTTATTTCGTTGCGGCTAGATCTACTTTTCTGGTTGGTTGCAGTGGCGAAGGTTTATTTCGCAGCAACAAAGTGTTATTTCGCCACGGCTAACGCCGCAAAACGGTGAATCGCACAGTAACCCCTTTTTACAGTTTTTCACATAACGATATGGATCCAAATCGAATTGAATGCACAAGCATTCGACCAGGACATTAACCAACCAATAAGTCACTCATCAACACATCATTAGTCAATTGATCAATTAAACATAATTTTACAGATTTAAAAACAATTAATTTATGCATCAACATGTTATCAATCAAATATACATGTTATCAATCAACGATTAAACATTATAATCTGGTACCTAAGGCTCTGATACCACTATGACTAACCAACCAGATTTGCGCAGCGGAAAAACATAATATTTAAAACAAATCAATCAATTACATGAACCAAGATCCGAGTACAGATTATAACGTTTTCATGCATAAACTGAAACGTAAAATAAAATTGTATTAAAAACAAATCCATACAAGGATTTAGTTCATACCGACGTTTGGAGGTTCCTCCTAATATCTCTGACTTCGGACACGAACACTGTTCACCAGTTACTGTTCACTGGATACTGTTTACAGACACTATTCATGTGATTCTTCGCTAATCTATTAAATGTAGGATCGCACTCACGGAAGTCCACACGAAGATAATCTGTAGAGCCCTTTATTATTTTGCTAGAACAATCAAAGACTTCAAGAATCAAGAAAGAAGAACAAGAAAAATTTTCTTCTTCACACAAGAGTGTTGTAACATGAGAGAGAGAGAGATAGGGCGGCTAGGGTTTTTGATTGAATGAATATATCACATTGTTTTAATTTTAAGTTACACTTATATAGTGCAACAATTAAAACCCTATTCCACTTAGGAATAGACATGGGCTCCAACCCTAGTTCACCCTTGCAACCAAACACACCCTTTATGGTATTTTAATTAATTAATTATTATTATAATTAAAATCAATTAATATATAATAATATATTAATATTTAAATATAATCTCACTAATTTAATTTTAATATTAAAATTAAATACAGGCAATAACCTCAGCAAATTTAATTGTACTGTGAGATTACCAAAATACCGTTTTCATCCTAAAAGACGAAAATACCCTTCTCACAAATTGATTCTTAAATTATCTTCTAAGTGTGTGACCCGTAGGCTCCTCATCATATCGGCAGTGTGTAGTATCGCGATTAACACCAATTAATCATTTCACTACATACAGACCAAGATTGGCCCCTCGCAAGCATCATGGCCACCCGATAGATTCGGATTCAGCAAAACCGCAGCCTGTCAATAGTATGGTTTCCGTGCAATCAAATCTTTTCATCATTTGTTATCTCATCGAAACTGAGGTACAAAAATAGTGTCAACCTCATATATCCTTGACATGTTTGTATTCGGTTAATGGACCAATGACCGGAATAATAAATTGGATTGAGCATCAACTCAATCCCATTGCGGTCACGGATTTAGTGTCATTTCCATTTACTGAATTACCCAGTGAGATAACTTCTCTCGTACCCAAGAGTGATGAATCCTTTGTCGAACTACCATAGTCTCGATATACTTCTCAATGTAGCCAATCACTACCGTATTGATAGCTCTGAATAGAACTATGTTGGGCTAGTGTCAAACTACACCAATTGGTGCACAAGGCACTCCGATGATCTCAAGTCTAAGGATCACATGCACGACCATTCGTTAGAGGATTTATTCAATAGACACTAGGGCTACCATCCATATGAAATCCTCTGATGGGTCTGTCCAGTCAAAAAATCGAGTTAATGAGAAAATGTCATTTGTTTGACATGATAGATCTCAAACTCGAGAATTTAAATGATCTAATAGTGAAATTGGGAAAAACTGACTTGGCAGATTTGGTCTAAAGATTAGCAGTTTATCCTAATGGCACTATGGAATTGTACGTTCCATGGAAAACCTTTAGAAAAGGTTATTGCAGAAACTTTTTGAATAAAGGAATGATCGATACAATGGAAATTGATATACAAGAAGCAATGGTGGACCCGAATATGCTAGACGCGGTTAAACAAACGCTCTGTTTATTGAATAAAAAGGTCAATACTTTCACTTGCATGATTACTTCTTCATTTCAAGAGAACTATAAAGTTCGACCTGTACGGATATGGGAATTTCTTGTAGGAGAACCATGGTACCGAATTATTTTAGATGATGAGGTAAGAATGAGATCTTATGCACTAGAAGAAATTCAAAGGAAAGAAGAGGAAGATTGGACCAAGTTGCATATTGCAAAACTGCTACTAGTTAAATCCAAGCTGGAAGAGCTTGTTAAAGCAAATGCTACTGTCCATATCCATAATGAGATAGTGGTAGTTTTACCAGACAGGTATGCTAATGCGACAATCCAAGATACACTCTTCAAACATAACCAAACCCAGTTAAGAACGCTATTATAAGAGTTTGATTTAGCCCATATATCAAAACAAGCTTTAATGGAAGGTACTATTGATCTTCTGAGGTTGATCTTAGCCCACGACCAAAAGGCTCAAAAAGATGAAACTCTGAAAGATTTTATTAATCTTGTAAAAGTGGATAACTTCAAAGATTGATAAAAATCTAGAGAATGGAGATTTGGACAACCAAAAATGTCCAACACGTAAATACGCTGACATGTATCAAACAAGTGGAAGATAATACGTGGACATCTAGGATTTTGCTTACAGAATTCAACGATCCAGATTAAAAAAAAGATATTGGATGTTGTGTATTATCGTTTGTAATAATTATATTTTGATATATAAAATGTGTAATGTAATAATTATATCTTTGTAAGACATGTAGGAGACATGTGGACCCAGTATCATTATCTTTGAGATAGGTGTTATTTTCTTATTAGTTTATTAGTCTTTGATAATAGTTAGTCACCTTTAGTTGATGATTGATTAGACCTTTTGTTTTGTTTTGTTTTACGGATTTAATTCATTTGAAATCCTAACTTCTCTATATAAAGAGAAACTTATGTACATTTTTATTCGAAGAAAAATCAATAATATTTTCAGTTTGTGAAAAAATTCATTCTCTCAATATCTTGTTTTACTTTTGAATTGCATACTCGAAGCAAAAAGAAAGGTTCATTTAAGAAGATTAATGCCCAGGTATGAATTAATCTTTCAAACCGAATCTATGTGCTTTTCTTTCCAATTAATCAATTAGGTGTTTAGTTATTAATTGTAATAATAGTTGTTAGACTGGGTATAACAAATATATAATAATAAAAGTTAGAATCCAATGGTGAGTAGGAGGGAAGCTACAACACATTAATGTATTGTAGCCAAAGCCCCAATGGAGATTCAAAACATTACTTTGGGTCTATTATTGGTTGTTTTCACACATGAAAGACTACAATATACAAATATATAGAAGATAGTTGAGGGCATCGTGCATATTATTCTTGTCACCAGCTTTCCAAGGCTACATATATAAATTGACTTGAATAGATATAATATTCTTCATTAATTAGGTTTGATTTTAGGCAGAAATTCCCGAGGAAATTCGCAAACCAACTAGTTAAAGTATTACTTGGGAAAATTAGATTCAATTCAATCCATCAAACTTACAATTAGTCAATTAGAATTTTTTCATTCAAGGGTCATCAAAGCATGAGTTAGAAAAACGAACAGAACAATGTGGAAGAATGAATTATCAAGCCTGCGTAGCTTGGAAATACATTAACTTTGAGTAATTAATGCATGTTATTGACCCAAAAACCATAACATCATTTGGGACTATTCCAAACTATTCTCTCCATCAATCAGAAACAAAATAAAAAAAACAAAACCCATTAGCGATCGAGAAGACAAGAAGAAAGAAAGGGTTTTCATCATAACTTATAAATAATACATGTTGGAGCAAATAAATAAATTATGGGATTTTTTTTTTTTTTTTTTTTCTTTGCTTTGAAATTTGTTATTTAAGTGTTTTTATAATGAAGCAGTCCTACCATAGTGCAGCACCATGACATGATCCGTAGTAGAGGAATCTGGAAGCAAAGTCACTGCGTCTCTGGGACTCCATATATTATCCCTTACATGCAGCAACGTCAAGAAAGGCAGAAGCTGTTGTCCTCTACATGTTATCTCTATCTGCTTTCAATCAATCACCATCACAACAATCACACACACAACCGTGTATTCATCATCACACTTCATACAAACCATCATAATAAAAATCAAGAAAAAAAATATATAATTAATCACAAAAAATATCTACATATAAAGTTAAAAAATGATTAATCACTTTAGTTTAAGTGGGTCATTTTGTTAATTAATTTAAGTTTTCAAATTTGTCTTTGTTCATACAATTACTAATTAATGAAAAATCTACAAAGCTTAGACTTGCTGCGATAGTTCATTTCACTTAGAAGTAAAGTAAAGAAAGAAAGATGGATATATTAAATAAAATAAATTAGTAAAAAATTGAAGTCATGCTTCGTCAGTAGCTTACGTGTTATCCATGCTATCTCAATAACATAACGTCTACTTTACCCATAGAATTTCTCTCTCTCTCTCTCTCTCTCACTGACTTTGTTTCTTTACTCGCAAGAGAAAAGAGATTCGTTGCAGAAATTTTTAGGGCAACGAACAGATGAAGAAATAGACGATTTAGGGCTGCCCGATCCATTCATCAAACAGCCCGAGTTTAATGATTACAGGACCCACTTAGACTTTACTCGTAAGCCAAAATCATGATGCCATAAGACTTTTATTTTAGTAATTAGATTTTATAATCTAACCAGTGCACTGCTCTTACAAAAATTAAGAAAAAAGAAGATTTGTAATGGATCCAAAAAGCACGGCGAGGAATAGGCACTATGAAACCTAATCACAAATATATATTATTATTATTATTATTATTTATTAATAAATATAATTTTCAATCCCATCTCATGCACGTCTACTTCACGTTGCTTTCTCTTCCCTTTTCTAAAGAAAGAAAGAAAGAAAGAAAGAAAAAAAAAACCTAAAATGTAGGTCAATTATATTCTTCTCTTAACTACCAGTGTTTTTGATTAAAACTTGTTAGGAAATTGTAGTTTAAAGGGTCACTGTTGAGATAATCAAAGGGGTTAGAAGAAGAATTATCTGATGTATATTTTAATATGCATGCAGTTGCAGTCAATTTCACCAACTATATAAAAATAATTTGGATGGCTCTTATCTGTCTTTTATGCTATTATATTTGTTGTTTTTTTCAACATCTTGGCATGATTCTGTTGTTGAATTATCTCTCATGCATTGCTTTCCTCCGACGTAAAATATATTGGGCGGGTGTATTTTATATATATATATTTCTTTCTTTCTTTATGTAATTATAGGTGGTTGGTTGTGGAAGAAGAGAGATGATGAAGTGTTTTTAAAATTCAATCAAAGTGCAGCACTTAAAAAGTTTTTTTTTCCTTTCAGCACAGGGAGAAGGTAAATAATAAGAAAGGACCTACAATACAATATTAGCTGTCAGGAGGATGAGCTGAAAGAGGCGAAAGCGTGACGAAAGGAAGCGATAACGCATGCAAATGAAAGAGATGAGAATGACAGGGTCCACGTGTGATTTTCAAGGCCCTACGATATGATGATTTTGATTTGATGTGTTAATATCAACTTTTTTATTTTTATTTTGGTTTTTTGTATGTATATTAATATATTATGTTGGCCAAGTTAATCCAAGTTGAAGATATGTATGTATATATATATGTTTTTATTTAATCTTAAAGTCAATGCTCACTTTTAAAAATAAAAAAAAGGAAACGAAACCCTCCCCACCATCCAGACATCTTTTTACTTTTCCAGTTTTCCTCCTCTGATTATTGCTCTAAGACTCTTATTTATTCATGTCCATGTAAAATCAATTCTCTATCTTCCTCCCTAGATCTCAACTAATCATGACATAATATTTTGTACAATGTATGTGTCCTCGGTATGAAAATTACACATAATTGAAGACAGCAGCCGGTACAAATCCTATAACCATGAAAGAGAAAGCACTACTACTATAAATATACGTATTCGGGACGGCATGGAATATTAATGAATCTTAAGGCTAAGAGAAGAAAGTTTATGTGATAAATGATTTGTATAATAAGCTGGTTCGTTGCTCCAACGCTAGTTCTCTACAAAGAATTTGACAAATCCATGGCATATTTGGTTGACCTAGAGAGATTTAAAGTATAGGGAAAACAATTTGATGATAGGAAAAATGCCAGAAGAATGTTGAGGTTGACATACATCCTAAATAGTGAATATATATTTTATGATTCAATTGACAGTTTTGTGATTAGGTGTATATATTTTAGGTGAAGAGTACATAACAGGCCATATATTTTTAAGTATCTGCTAAGAGAGAGAGAGAATTTTGTTATATTTGGGAATATGATTTGATTAAATAATTTATTCTACGTCTAAGTCTCATCCATATCATGGTTTATTAAAGGACCGACCTAACCCCCAACTTATTCGTAAACTTCATTAAACTAAATCAAAATGGAATGTCGAGTGATATACATGCCAACAACCAAACATAATTTATTGCAAACAAATACAAATATACGTCGTATGAGGTATGACATTCCAAGCACCATTTTCGAAGGCACACGACTATTTCAACTAGTTATTTGGATTTCTAATTAATGGAGCCGCCCTGGTTTGAGTTTTGACTCTTAAAAAAAAAATATGCATGCCATCGATAGATGAAGTTAATTAAAGGAAACCCTATGTGTCATCGTTATTCGTGTAATTTTTGTCGTTTTATGTTACTAATCGTCCCTACACATATCTAACGATACAAAAACTAGCAAAAATGCAATTCTAAGCGCTAGGTTAAGGGACTTATAACTCTAAAAAACTTATTGTTTGGCCACAGCATAAATTTTCTTCTTCCTATGATTGACCCAATTAAAAAAAACTAGGGTTTTTAACACTTCTAACAAATCAACAGCTGGAAAACCACAGTTTTCTTCTTCCTACTGTCACATCTTTCTATACCGTGCCAAGCGTTGTCTTTTAAAAGTTTCCCTCTTAATTCAATATTTTAGTGCTTCTACACCTGCAAGTAGTACATGGTGGCACATGCAAGCAATGTAGAATTGTTTTATATCTGTAACAAATACAATGAATCAAACCACACAGCAATATCAAGATTTTCAAGCTATCTATATACTACTAGCACTCATAGTACGGTTTCCCCTAGTTAAGAGTATCGACCTATAATGCAATCGGTTTAGAAAATTTTCTTCCAATTGTAAACACTTAAGATACATCAGAAATGTAAATGTTAAGACATAAATTAACAATATTTTACCATTCCACAATATTGATTTTATTCTCCAATACTGTAGTGTGGGTGGGGTAAAAAAGAAACACACCCACACTCCAAATCTTTTTTTATGTAACTATGTGAATGTTAATATTACTGTATCATTGGTTAATCTCGTTAAGTTTTAATTCCTAAACTTTTAAACTACACACTTAACATTTTTTTTTTTTTTTTAGTAAACTTAGTAATTGTCTTACCCGTGACTCAAAGACAAAGACCCCACAGGTATAACTAAGCTCAGTGACTAAAAAGTTTGTCATCCGATCACAAGGGGAAAGGTTAAACACTTATCTTTCAGAAAATACCTAGCTAGACTAAAGAATGTCTTGGAATATCAATTGTAGTGTATAGGTACTCGTGCGCTACGAAGGGTGAAAAATCATTTATCAAACTATCCCAAGATAATTAAAGGATCTTGATGACATAACATACAAATTCATAATGTTTCAGAGGTTTATAAATATATTAGATCACTAAAGTAGTATAAAAAGAAACTTTAGTATGCAATTATTATTAGTGAAAAACATATATAATGGTATTTCATAATGAAGAGTGCAAGAGAAGCATTGTTGTATTGAATGATGGAGAAAACAATGATGTGAATTTGATTTAGCACAAAATTATCTCTCTTCATGAATGTGTGTATATATATACATCTCGTGCACCCATTATTTTCGTGTAAGACTAATTTTTTTACTGTAATGACTACATGCAAATTGAAATGAATTATGGTATACTTTCACTCATAAAAAATAAAAAATAAAAACCTTGTAAAAACTAACTTTACTATGTACTTGATTCATCCAATAATATTTATCGTGCATGCCTATTCTTTTATCATCACTAATAATGACTGTAAGCTAATTTGAAGTCTATAATATCTAAGGCCACGACAAGAAAATCTGATCAATGCCATTACCATGCATGCATGCTGAAAATTATTAAGCAAAGTGCCAATGACTAATTTGTCCTTACTGTTTTCATAATATTAGGGTTCTGTTATACTCAAGAACATTTTTAGATTAATGTATATAAAGCATCTTAAAAATGGTTTCAAGGATATGAATATGTAGTTAGAAGGAAATATCTAATTTCGTGCAATATGGAAAGTAAACCCTATTTTCAGGCTAACTTAAGGTCTTGAGTGCAGTGTAATACATGCTAATGTTGCTGAATGAGATGGTGAGGAAAATTTCTATTTCCCTCTCTCTCCTTCTAAAGAATACCGGCCCCTTTAATCGTTTCATGACTACTAAAGACATCCAAAGCACATAATTAACCTCCAAGAACATATTAGAAATCTAGACTTTAACTGAACTTTCATTTTTCCTGAAATTAGAAACTATATAATGCTTTTGCTTGAGCCAAACTCCATCACCGTCATGCTGCATGTTCAAAACTTCAATGATACTGGTTTATTATGATTCTAGAATTCGAAAAGAGATTTCATATGGCTTAGACTAACACAAACACACACAGTGTTAATCTTTTAATATACGAAAATAAGATTTTTTTAGGAGAGGAAACGAAGACGTCGATAATGGTTTGAGGTTACAGTGGCTAGCTATACGACCATAGTACGCGAAGACTCAGCTAGCCCAGGATTCTACTTTAAGGTTTTCAATATTAGTTATAAGTACCACGCATTTGCTTTACATGTATACTTTTCTGAATATTTTGATATGAAACTTCGACATCATTATACTTTACGTTTACTTACGGGTTACTTTTATAAATGTTTATGGTCTAAACAGTGAAATCATGTGCATAAGGACGAAACGCTACACCTTTAAACAGTAAACGGTAAACCCTCATCCATCTATTTTGTGGACGAGAAAAGAGGGTGGTAGGTAGTTTTCTATATAGCAGCGGCAAAGATCTACATTTGAACCTTACACTTTTAAACTTGGTCAGTAAAAGCGTTTATAACTAACTAAAGACAGAAGGTTATGGGCATTTTGGAAGAGTCATTACCTTGACTAGACATGCAGTTTGCTGGAAGACCAACAATGCAGCAATAGATTATGGGGTAAAAGGCTAATGATACAGAAAGAGAAGATGGCCATCTAGAAATATACTTCCCACCTAAATCTGATGTTATCAAAAAAGAAATAAATACCACTAGAGAACGCATTTAGTTCTGATGTTTCCATCATGTTTCTAACACCAACCATGACCGTATTTATGTAATTAAGTGGTGGACGAAAAGGTTTTGGTTTTCTCTTTTTGGCTTTTCTGTATGGAGCTAGAGCAACTTAAATAAATTAAATGGGATGTGGAACATTAAAGAATGATAATGCACAGCATAAATATAATCAATGAACTACTTTTTGGTAAGCATTTGAAGGGAAAATAAGTAGCAGAAATAGGTTTAAATACCTCTGATTCGCTATCCAATTTCAGCTTATTAACCAGATACTTTATTAATAGTCGAACTGTCATCCTCCCGTCCCTGAAGGTTTGAGAAATCAATATTACACAAATGAATAAGTTAAAAGAAAAGATGAATAAATACAAAAAAAAATAAAAAATAAAAAAAAACCGTCAACGATTTCACGACCTTGAAAAGAATTTTTTTTTTTTTTTTTTTTAATGAAATAGAAACACAGTATAAAGGATTAAACGTAGAGTACAATGATAAAATAAATTACTTGATTCTTAAGTAGCTCTTTTGTATCTGCGGCAAGAACGGTTCTCTCGCTCTGCATTGAGAAATGAATAGAATTTGATTAGAAAGAAAGTAAACTGAGCGTCTTTTAAAATATTAAAAAATCATGACAAAGAAAACAAGAAAATTAAAGAGCAGAGGGGGCTATAGCTATTGTTTTGAACATCTTGTTCTGCACTTACTGATTTTGGGATGCTAATAGCATAAACCAAATGCCAGACTGGGGTCTCCGAGGAGGATCAATAACTCTGAAATCTGAGCTCGGCCCAGCAACATCTATTCCCGTATGCACTTGAAATGGTCGTGCAAAGTAGGACCCGAATGGCATCAAAGAAGAAGAAGACGAAGACGAAGACGAAGAAGCCATCGCAAGATTTTGTGGGATGGGTCTAAATGCCCAGTTAATCTCTTGATGAGAAGGAAATGTTGAGCTACTTCCTTGGTGTTGAAAGAATAAAGATGAGCTAAAACTATTGGCACCAGCAATATTCATAACCGGCCGTGGACCTCGAAACTCAGGCACTTGAAAAGTAGGGGCTAAAGGCCTCGTTTGTGGTGAACTACCACCTCCACCTGGTAATAGATCAAGCTCGATCAATCCTCCTCTTCTCGCCGTTGGGTCCACCTGATGATGCTTGATGTCATGGTTGCTTTTGTGATGACTACCTATACTCAATTGTAGCCATCCTTCATCTCTTTGATCTTCTTGGTTTTCTTTCGAGCTTGAACCAGCTTCGTTAAGACTGTTAGTTCTTGATTCATCTTCAGCCATGGGATTAACAACTAGATCAGATCCTAAGCAAGCTTCACTACTATAGTCATAACCTTGTATTCGACTCATAAGACCAAAACTCTCTGTACAATTATTACCACAACCACCATAACCAGAATAAAGATGATGATGATGTTGTTTAGAGAGATTTTCAGCAGGAACCATGGTCATATCCGAGAACAAAAAAACCCGAACCAGCAGTTTGGATGATAATTGTTAGAGTTGATATCAACATGAGCCATGGATTAAAAAGTTATGGAGGGGCAAGTTATACTGGAAAAAGGGATCTATAGTTATTGGTATAAGCATGTTTTGAAATTGAGGAATAAAGAAAGAGAGAGACACCCATTAACCAGATAAGGGTTATTGTTTTCAGTTTGATCATAAATATGTCATACGACAAGAGGGAGAACAAACCTTACAAATCTCACTTTCCATTAATTCTCTTTGTTTGGAAGCTTGTGGAGATGAAATAGTTGCAGGAAAGGAGAGAGAGAAAGAGAGATGGTGGTCAGTCAGTCAGTTATATTAATAATCTTATTATTGTTTATATATATATATATTCTTAGGGAGGTCGAACAGTAATATTTTTTGACTTTATTAAGAAGAAATATATATTAAGTTCCACTTGTTTTCTAATGGAAAAAGTATTTAAGGGTCTTCCAGCTTACAACTTTAGGGCATGTTCCAAGGAGAAAATGACTGTAAAGTTTCTTTCTTTTTAGAATATCACAAAAAGGTCCTTTTTAGCTCTTCTCTAATAGATGATGATGTTTAAATTTAATCATATTGCTGTTGGAGTTGGATTAATCAATATACAAAATCGGACAACAAAGCATTAATCACGTCTTGGAATTGACCTTATTAATTAGTTTTAAGATCCCACGCGTCTCATGTTCTTTGATGCTGTTGATTATATATATATATATATATATTCTAATAAATCCATGTTAATGGTAACATCAAAATCCTAATACAAATAAATGAATTTGGATACATATATAGCATATAGCATATGAATAAATTAATGCCTCAAAATGAGACAAGGAATTCTTTTGACCTGGCATAATGACATTACCTGTCAATTAGGAAAAATAATATAACATAAGAAGCACATTAGAGTAAGTTATTAATAGGGTAATTATAAACAAATAAATGGAGAGTTAGGCATGCATGATTGTGTTTCCCCACAACCCAAGAATCAAAACACAGCGACGTGGGCTTTGTTTTTGTAGGACATTCCTTGCTTAAGCATGTGCCTCCCACCCTCCCTGCATTAACTTCTGATTTGTCAAATATATTTCCTCTTTTAATTCTTTTCTCTTATGCTTGCTTTTTCGGTTATAACTTCAAACTAAGTCTTTTTTTTTGTTCTAACTTGAACGACAATGGCTGCTGTTGCCTTCCTGAAAAGCTGCTCACCTTCTTTCCAGCCCATCAAACGTGGTCTCTATCTAACCTATCTTATATTCTTATATTCTTATATTCTTATATATATAACACTATTGATTATATGTTTATAAGATCCCAGGAATATGAATCACCTGAGACTCTGGCTCCATGCCTTCATCACTTTTCTTCGCTATTTGTGATGGAATGTTGCAACTTTATTTTACTGTGTTGAGGAAAACTTGTTGGCAAATAAAGAAATTGAGGAGCGTCTTATGAGTCTAAATAAAGGAGTAGTAAAAGATGGGAAGCGTGGCCTCTGGTGACAGTGCATGGGCATGGAATAACTTAAGCTTGGAATTAAAGCATGAAAGCAAAGGCCACTGATGGAGATATCTTTCTACCAAAAATTGTCCCTAAAGATTCTAAGAAGTGGGCACCCCGCCAATTCTCTCTCTTTCATACACAAACAAACAATTCAATTAGGTGATGCCCTTGCCCCCAATTTAATTATCTCAAAAATATTTTACTTTATACTACAAAGATTCAAGAATTATGGCTTGCACTAATTTTTCTTAATTCATCTTGAAATTAATGGAAGAGATTTCTGCTTACTCATTATAGCAACACTTTATATGATATAATTCAGCTAGGTTGACATTTATTGCAGGTGTATTTATGTGTGAAATCTATGCACAAATTAGCCAATAGAGATATCAATTGCATTGTCTTCAAAATCAAGCAGAATTCATTAATCATAATTCATAAAACTATGTCAGATGTCAAAATTGTGCACTGAAGATCATAATTAAAAGTGATTTATAATCTTTGCTGTACAGTATACTAAGCTGAGAAAGGAAAGGACTCAATTAAACGTGTGCAGATCCATGACAGCAAAGAGTTGAAATTCAATAACTTATTGTTGGGGCCCTAAAGAATATACTTACCGACTCCACAGTAACTAAAAGCCCAATAAAATGAAAAGTAAACCAACTAATCTCTAAAGCCAGAACTAGAAGCCAAGGGGAAGAAGAAAATATGAACGCATGTATTGGTGTATACGTAATAATCATGCATGGAATTGAATGGTTTGATGACTTTTGAAAGAGATAGAGATTTCATGTATCAGAGTCCAGGGAAGTTATATGAGTACCGTACCCAAGGGGGACCGAATTATAATAGCTTTTTAATGTGCATGTTCCCATTAGAGCAAGTGGGGTTCTTTTTCTTTTGCCCACTAAATAGAATTGGGAGGTGAGAAAACAAATACCCCTTTAATCTCGTCATCATACCATCATCAATGCCATCATCATCACTTTCTCCATATAAATCACGAAGTGCAAACCCAAAACAAACACCAAACTAGCTATGTACTGGATCCTTCTTCTGTGTAATTCTTTCAATTTGGAGTTGGAGGGAGAGAAGAAATTTGAGAAGAAGAAGAAGAAGAAGAAAAATAAAAAAGTCTATTTGCATGTGCATGTGATATAATGAGTGGCAATGTCAGTCCATGCATGTGATACAAGTGGGGGTTTAATTTGTTGAAACCGAGAGAGAAAGAGAATATAATGCATGGGGTATGGACGGAGTTCTCTCTGTCAGGATTTTGAGCACACTACACACCTTATCTTGGGCTTTGAATTGAATGCATGTGCCTACTTTCTATCTACTTGATTCAGTGCTGTTTGGTCAATTTCAGTCAACATAAATTAAATTACAAAATTCAAGATTAAGACAACAGAAAGATGGATCTATATATGCAAATGCATGGACTTGCTCATTCGTTTCCGGGTTTTTGTTTTTTTTTTTTTGGTCGCCTTTGAGTGTCTTATGGTTGACCCCAATTACTCCGATTGGAGTAGCAAAACCAAAAAGAATTTCAACAAAGGCGTCCCCTTTTCCTCTAATCCAAAAGAAAAAAAAAAGTCATTATCAGCTCATAATCGGGATTTTACTACCTTTGCCGATTATTGGTTGTGGGCATTTAGAATAGTCGATCAAGCGCTTCTCCATATTTGAAAAAAAATTGCACTTTTTATTCAGAGACATCATTAATTTAGAAAATACATTAATTTATTGATAAACTATGTTAGATCATAATAGGGTTGTAAGTTGTAACCGACTGAAAACCCTTAATTAAACCTATAAGAGCCTCTTATAAGGAGGAGACATTATCACATGATTGTCTTCTTTTGGTTAATTAACTTAATTCCAAATGAAGAATGGAGTTGGAGTTGTGTAGTTTCTCTTCAATGGATTTCTTACAAAAGAACCTAATTGGGCAATTAAACTCTATGAATTGTTCATATATCCATGACTTTATCCAGAAAGCTTTATATTATCTATTCGGAAATGGGTAATAAAGGTTAAAATGTTTAGAACTAAACCATAATTAGGAATTATGAGATTCATGTGCCCTAAAAGGAGACGAGCCTTGCTTACGTTACGTGGACATATACAGTAAATGTAAATATAGGTTAGAGAAAATAGAGCAATATGTGGTTCATCCCCAGGATGGTCAATTGAATTAATTTTTCATTCTGCAAAAGGAGACCAAGTTATGATGAAACTTAACAGCAGGTGCCTGTGCCTGCGCCCCCCTATTGGTAATTGGGGCTCTTGTGCTATAAGCAATCTCGGTACTTTATTTCATGTTTAATCATTCCATGTAGCTTAAAAAGTGAGAATATAATGGGCAACCGCAACCTACGTCCTCTTATCTGTGTCATCGTCATAATTCTCAAGTTTAAGGTAATCCCATCTTTCTGAAAAGACAAACGTATTTTTTCACTTTTATACAGGAAACTTAGATTCTAACTAAAATTTGCCAACGAATAACGTTACAAAAATTTTATTGATCAGGGAAATTTCAGTTAGACTAATTGAGCTCTTTAAGGCAAGGGAAATAAGTAATAATAACCAGATCTGATGTTTAAGATGAAAGGCTAATAAGCTCAATGGGGCTGAAATCCTGAAATTATGTTTATATATATATATATGGATGAGAGAGTTGAGAGTTGTTGTAATAAGTTCAATGAAGCTAGGTCTTAAAAGAAAGAGATGTTGCATAAATCACTCTGTGATCACATTCACACGCACTGAAAGAGACAGACACTCAATCTCTTTCTATTCTCTCGTCAATTTTTGTTTCAAGACACAACTGTTCGAAAACTTTAATGGTGTTGGAATGTGATTATGTGACAAAGATACAGTAGTGAAGTGTGTTTGGATTCTCTCTCTTTCCACAAATTCGATTTCACACAAACAAAAACACACACAACATGGTTTCTTTTTGCAATCTTGTGATAGAGACGGGTGTGGTAGTTGTGTCCTTTTTTTTGGTGGAGGATTTTTAAAAATAAAATGAAAGAAGGAGATGAGTTTTGTAGTGTTGTTGGATAGTTTGGCATGGCGCTAGTTTTACATAGTGGAATGTGGGGTGATCATTCCAAAGTGAAAAGGGGGCCAACTTTCTATGAACTCTTTGCTTTTTGGATTATCACTTTGCATTGCATGTCCCCTTTCTAACCAAACAAACCCTTTCACGTCTACAGAATATTTTCTTATTTTTTACATGAAAAAACTGCCTTTGAGCACTCCATGTTTTTCACACATAGGGCGCTTTTCCAATCTGAATAAGCTCCTTTATCCTTTATCCATAAACCTTAAACCTTAATTTTAATTTATTATGAAATTTGAGTTATGGTTGTCAAAATCTCCAGGTATAATTGATTAATTTTATTTTATATTTATATATACTAAACTAAAAGATCCTAAATCTTACTAATGAGTGCCGTATTATTGTGAAACGACCTTACGCTTGGCTAAACTCTTTATTCATTCATTCTAAAATTATTGTATAGTTGAACATAATTAAAGAGATTTGGAGAAGTGCTCAACACATTCTCCGATTCAAGTCTATAAGAGATTTTCTACAAGCTGTCTTTTAAGATTGAAAAAAGCTGCGATTTGGCACGAGGATAAAGAAGTATATATATATATATATACTAGTCCAATAGAAACGAATTTTCTATCTGGGATAAACGTATATATATATAGAGGTAGCAGGAGGCAGAGGTAGCAGCCCAATTTGACAGAGTTTATTGTTCATTCATCAATGAGAATTTCAGGCACGCTTGGTTGACACATGCATAGGAATTTACGAATGCAGAGAGCACATAATTAATAATTTTATAAAGTTAAACAGAAGCAAACGCACTGCCTGCTGCAATGCATCCTTTGCATGTCACCAAACCCTAAATATTCCCCTTTCCTTTATTTCATCTTCACTGCTTCCCACTCACCATCATCACCAACACCTCATCATTTCCTATTCTTAGTTTTCTTTTTAATTACATTTATATATATATTTATTCTCTCTCTCTTTTTCACGGCCGGCTGTGGTTCAGACTTCTTTCTTTACAAACCTACCACTTTCTTCCTTTCGATCATTATTTTCATCCATCTGTTATTATTAGTTTTACTACCAAAAGGGTACTTGCAATTACACTCAAATTGACTTAGAGTTCACCTTTTGCATTCTCTTTTTCTCTCTCTCTCTCCCAGATACCCATGTCTTTTTTTTTTATGTTTAGCTTCTTGGTCAAGCTCTCAAATCTATAATTGGATAGCATATATGAGTTAATATTTAATAAGCCAGGCTCAGGTACTTTATTTCTAATCCACTTACAACCGCAAAAGACTGAATCTTCAATAATAGAGCATCGGAATCAATCAGTTTCTTTCCAGATCAACCAATTTCTTCAATATTAGGCAAACAATACCACGCATACTACTTCATATACATCATTAAGCTCACATCCGCATAAATTTATACCCTATATTGACTCTGTATAGGCAAGTTAATTATAAGCCCACCATCACACAGTAGCCAGTTTCGCTGATGTAAACGTCTACACACTCGAATACATGTTAGCCAGTAAGAAAAAAAAGCGACAAATTTTATATTCATATGAGCCTTGCAAGGCAAACAAAGCTTTTATCTTTCCTTTCTTTTCACTCAATCTAGATGGTTTTCATTTCATGGCCGCTTTAATTAATTTGTGCATACACGGAATGATATGATAATCAATATGCTATAATAATAAAAATTATAAAAGGAAACCCATGGCTTTTACTGGGTAAACCCAATTCATAATTTATTTGAGTGGCAAACACAACATGAAATCAGGGATATACCATAATGTTGTAGATATATTCATATATAAATTTATCATAAATAGAATAGCACCATAATAGCCACGAGCACACAAAATAATTTTCTATGATCTATGAGCTGTTTTGTTGGCTGTTTGCATTGAAAGTAAAGGCAGGCCAAAGTGGATATATGCCCTACAGAAAATTATTAATCAAAAGTGTTAATATATATTCAAGTAATATAATCTCCCACCACATAGGAAATCATTCTAATTCTTATTGATGATACCCACGAGTTCTTTCTTGCATGATCTTCCCTACATAACATAGTTCCCAGCATCGCTTACTTCCAATTAGTAATTGGCATGCATGTTACCAAACCCCTTCCTCAAATATGCCAACTATGTTAATATTCTCCACATTATTCAATTAACATCTCCAAGGATTTTCTTTGGCTCTATGCAAACCAACCAATCACTTTAGGGTTTCCCTCTTTAAAATAATATTACAAACCCGCCAAAATTTCCCCTTATAATAATGTGAATACGACTCAATTAAAGCACCCATGAAGCCCATGGAATTGTCAGTATTTAGCCCATTTTCAAGCTGCTGCTGTTTACCCTAAGTCTAAACCTAATGAAAGACAATCATAATGTTTCATTTCCGTACGTGTAAATATAGAAATTAGCTATAGCTCTCTGTATAGTGTAGGTATATTAATACCTGCATGCACATTATATTTAATACCACGTTTAGGTTTAGGGTTTTCCATGAAATGCTTTGATTGTCTATTATACGAACATGATTAATTAAGAGCAATTAGTTCCTCAAAAAGCAGTTACACAGAATTTTATAATAAACCGACCAGAGGTATTGAGGTTCGTGCCACCGCGTTGACACGTGGACGCTGATTACGGAGTTTAGAGAAGAACAATGATGATGATCAGAAATGCGCATGAGGCATGAACATGATAGGTGAAAAAAAAAGAAAATTATTATATTTTAGTTGAGGGTTCAAGATAAGAATGGTACGCTCTCGAAATTCTGAGACAAGACATGGGGGACTTTTTGCATGGACGTGCGTGGGTTTGTGTTTGTGGAAGAAGTGGACCCCAATCTCCTGACTGCGCGTGCAAAGCCGAACTTCATGGGGGGCTCTCCTGTGGACCCCCCACTAAACACCCTTTAAATTTTAATCAACACGTATTATATTAACACCATCATGATCATCTTTTACTAATCAACAAAAATTAATAAAATAATCTCGCCCCCTTAATTGATTGTTAATTGTAGAGAGCGTCATGTAAAACAAACAAATTAAAATTCTTTTTTGTTTCTTTCTCCATGAGAAATAAATATATATATTATTTTTTAATTTGACTTTTTTCTTTTTAAACTTGAGAGAACATGGAATGGGTTTGTCATGGTTGTGTCACGTCGACGTTTGATTTCTCATATCATCCAAAAACACAAGAAACAATGCAACGTCAATCTCGCCAATTGACCACCATAAATTCTTAAAACACATGCAGGGAAAGGCCCTGCCGGTGCTCATTTATCTTTTTCTGCTTTTGCATGGCGGTTACACGTTGTGTTTGTGGGTAGGCTCAATTCATACCCTCCTGTGCTGTAATTCGTATGAACACACAAAAGTCTCTAGTGGGCTTTGTGAAATGTGTGAATGAAAGTCAAATGTAAAAGAAAATTAATGGGGTACGTAATGACTAGTTTGTTGATTGAGTTGAGAGATGATTTTAGCTGTATAGCAATAATAAGGACGTCATTCTGATCTAACGTAATTAGGCAAGAATTCACAACTTTTTTGTTTTTTTCCTTTTTTTTTTTTTTTCTAATTTCAGTTTGGTTCACATAAAAATTACAGGTAAATGGTGCCTAATAATTGGACTATCGAAGTAGGTATTTAGAGAAATATCACATGGGGCTACACACTACATGTCGCCCATAAATGACTCATTCTCAATACAGATTACGACCCTTGCGTTACTTGAACAAAATCCCTTACCTAAACTTTCTCCATCGCCATCAACGCAACCAAATTGATCCTCAGGCGTGACTTATAAGATCATGAAGCTTAAAATTGTAGCAGTCAACTATCACTTATAACGAATTTCATTGGAGTATATTTCCATCAAGCAGTACAGGCTCAAAAGGGCTGTTTATAAGTAGGTGAGAATCTAACTATATTGTATAACAAAAATATTAATCTAAATATAAATGATCTCATGAAAACATTGTGGATGTAAATGAATGGAACCTTTAATAAGTATAACTAGCCATTTCTAGTGAAGCACATAGGATGAGTGTATGGTAGCTGCAGGGCTGAGGTAAAGACAGAGCCTTGTTAGGATGTAGGAGATGTTTTTGCTTCTGTTTCGCCTGAATCCTCAAGTCTTAGGCCGATCACATGGTTTTGGTGTGGCTTTTCTTTTAACCAGATACGTCGTGGATAAAAAGACTTCTGTAACAGCTTTCCTCATTCAAAGGCAGCTTGCCAGAACTACCTCATAAATCATGGTTCCATGCAGTATAACAGATAAACCAATTGCCAATTTTCGTCTAATGGACAATTGAAAAGGCAACTAACTACATGATAATATGGAACATCATAGCTTTTAGAAACTGCGACCACATTCAACAACAGCTTTCTCCCATAGGCAAATGCATTCCCCTGGCTCTAGTTACTTCGTGTGTTTACAGCCTCGCCAGATTTAGCTCTTGATAATGCCTGCACTCAAATCATTTTTAAGAAAAAGAGAACAAATGTCACCAGTGAAACACCAAAGATAAACAAAGAAAAGAAACTGTAGGACTAAAAAAGGGAATGTCACTAAGAACAATTTGTTCATGAAAAGTAAAGATGAAGAGAAAACATGTCACTACCTAATACACATACAAATTCAGCCTTAATGTATAAGCGACATCTAATCCTAGAAATTGTGTAGGCTTCACAAAACTATAAGTGCAAGATACTGAAGAGTTTCGACTTTTGTGTATGACTTTAAACTGCTCTACAAGATTAGAAGAAAGCTTAATTAAACAAAACTTCTATCTCAGTAGCATCTGCCAAATTCCTCATGAACCACTGCTAAAAATGATGTTTAAAAATATCATGAACTTAAGTAGAGTTGCATTCTAATAATTATTCAAGTCCACTTCACACCCTGCCTAAGCTGACTTCACGACACTATGTCTACAACTGCAGAATGTGTTTAACTGCACTTTATCTTTATTTTTAAGTTATAAGTTTTAATTTAGAAACTAGAGAGAGCTGCAAGTGGTAAATATTGTCAACCTGAAATACAATAATCACTGAAGCAAATTTAGAGAAGATTTAAATTTTTTTAGTGTGTGACCAAAAATAGTAGTTCTATAGATCTGACTAAATTCTGACAAGAATAACGAATTTCCATTAACAACTAAATTCTGACAAGAATAACGAATTTCCATTAACAACTAAATTCTGACAAGAATAACGAATTTCCATGAATGTTAATCTTACACATTTCGTTGGTCTTTTCTCATTTCATAAGCAAGCAGAAGTCATTTTCAAAATTCTCTAACAAGGACAGGTTCCTACTCCTATGATTCAGCAAGTTCCTAAGAAACAGGGACAGTGTGACGGGGCACCAAATGTTATTCTTCAAAATTCAGGATTTTATTCAAATTAGTGCTTCATATGAGGGTGAATTAATCCTAGATGTTACTTTCAGAGGCATAGAACAAAAAATAAGTCGAATGATAATTTATAAAAGATTGAATAGGCTTAAATTAAGAGATGGCTGATGAAGCAGCAAGGTAATATTTAGTTGGTTTGCACATTCCTTTATGAGGACAATCTTGCCAGGGAAAGCAGATTTGTAACCTCATTGAACCCCTTTGAAAGAGAGAATTGGAACTATACAGCGAAGAAGTTGATGAATAGCATAACATTTAGGCAAGTTAAATCCACAATGAAAACTAGCAGCAGTAAAGTTGATGATAAAAATAGTAGTAACACTATGGTAGTTAGGCAGCTGTTTTACATAGGAAGTCTATACTTGTAAATCAGCCCTAGTTCATAATATAATTTGAAGTCCGCCGACCTAAGGATTGAAAACCTTCAGTCCGAATACTAAAATAAAAATAAAGATATCATATATGGTAATCTTCGTGATTTTGACTTTTCTCCGTCCACTACCACCTAAAATATTATCCGTGTACGAGAAGCAATCTCCTAGTCAAAAAGTTGATCATTTTGTAAATCTGATTTTGAATGATTAACAATTCAGAAATGCAAGGAAAGGCTATTTGTGCAATGTATTGGATGTTTCAGGAAGTGCAATATGATGCTGACACAACGTATGAATGAAAATATGAGGCAAGTATGGGGCAAACTATATCTCTGATACCTGTACACTATTGTCATATATATATAAATACTACACATGCACCCAATATCGAAAATATCAACATTAAAATAACAATCATAATCTAGACATGATCCAACAGGACTGGGGATTTGATCGGATAAAGATCACATCACGTGAAACATCTTGATAGTGACAAATACAGTGCGCGCTGACAAATTCATATATTGCATATTTTTCAGTAACTATAATAATAAGCCTCATTATATGTTCATGACCGAAAGAATTACTAGAACAGCATCATTATATGGAGTGCCTTTGGTTATACTGGTCATGATATGAATGATTATTCTGAGCTAGGAGTAGTTGGTTATTCTTTGATCCAAAGTTTAAAACTGCAGATTATATTTAGGAACAAGGATGGTAGAGAAATAAAAAGGATTGTAAGAAGAAATACAGAGAACATCTACCTGCAGTAAAAGAGCACATAACAAGAAGACTCGGAAAGCTTGCAATCCAACCTATGTTCCAACACAAGAAACCATAGTTCATATGCAACTTATATTTCACACAAAATAAAACCTAGTGACTTAAAATAACCACAAGAGTATTATAGGATCTCAAAAGATATGTACACAGAATTCAACCTTCAAATCATGTGCAGCTCATCTTGTTCAGCGGAAAAAATGACCTCTGATTATATGACTAGCCTGCAAACCATTCATGCTAAGCTTAGTATTGAACAAGAATGAATTTTTCCATTTTTTTTTTTTTTTTTTTTTACTATGAAGGCAACATGAAAGATGTACAATAGTATGTGATAAAATAGAATTACATGAGTGGACCATGTATATACTATTGCTTAAGAAAAATGAAAATTTTCCTTTTAAGTCAAGTTCTGCTTTTTTCTATTTTTTCCAAACTTTAATTTGCAAAATAATTTAATATTCATTAATCAATCAATAGCAAACTAGCACAAATATAAGTAGAATGCACTCGCATCATTGTTCACCGTTTTGAATTACCTAAGCGCAGCAAGTTGAGGCCTGCTTCATGGGTATATTTAACTTTGTGGAGAAGATTAAAACTTTTGTTGAAAAAAGGTAACTGTCAATAAGGAGCATCAACGAGTCAATCACCAGTAATCACCACAAGAGCAAAGTCCATCCTGAAAGTGATGGAATCGGTTCATATCTCTGATAATAATATCTCTTCGGACTATCTTTGATATCAATTTTATTGCAGCATGACAATCCACACATATCCGGAGATTCTTAATGATACGAATATTGCTCCCAGGAGGACTTTTAATTAGTGCAAAAGCTAAAGCTAATCTTTCACTGTGTACCCACAAGTGCCGCTCCTTTTCATCTTCTTCTACATCACGCAAAACAGCACGATGATCAGGAACATAACCAGCTTTCCTGGTTCTCATGTTCAACCACTCCAACATCCCATAAATCACTTTCATGTCACAATGTGAGGTATCCCCCACAGTGAAATAATGAACTGTTCCCTGGTTCTCAATCCAACTCAGACCTGGTTCCTTTTTCACTCCTTTCCTTTTCATGCTCTTTCTAATAGAAGCAACATCTCTCCACCTCTTTGCATTGGCATAAATGTTTGATAACAACACATGAGTCGCATCATCTTCGGGTTCCATCTCTAAAATATGTTGAGCAGAAATTCTTCCAAGCTCAACATTGTTATGAATAACGCAGGCACCAAGTAAGGCACGCCACAACATGACACTGGGCTCAAATGGGATTTCTTCTATCAACTTTGCAGCCTCATCAAGATGCCCTGCTCTGCCCAAAAGCCAGACCATATTAGTGTAATGCTCTATACATGGTTCAATGCCATAGTCCTCCACCATAGATTTAAAATAAGCTTGCCCTTCATCTAGGAGTCCGGCGTTGCAACAAGCCGATAGCACACCAATAAAAGTCAAATTATTGGGTTTACACCCTCTTTGCACCATAATTTCAAAAACCTTTAAGGCCTCGATACTTAGACCATGCATGGAGTATCCTGAGATCATAGCATTCCATGTAATTTTATTTCGCTCATTCATCACATCAAAAACTAATCGAGCATTGTTAATGCTCCCACACTTTGCATACATATCTATCAAAGCATTAGCGACTACAACATTCATGTCATAATTTGATTTGACAGTCAAGGAATGAATTTGAGTTCCCGGCTCCATCGCTGCCAAACTAGCACATGCACGAAGAACACTAGAGTATGTCACTTCAGTTGCCAATACTTGGTTCTCAAGCATTTCCAGGAACAAACTCAGTGCCTTGTCCCCAACCCCTAATTGCACGTAACCAACAATCATTGTATTCCAACACACATCATTCCTATTTGATGTTTCCTTAAACAGTTCCATAGAGTTCTCCATCCTTCCACATTTAGCATAGACATCCATGAGGGCATTCGAAACAAACACATTAAAGTTAAGACCAACCTTGACCACGAGGCAATGGATTTGCTTCCCCAAATCCACACCCTCCATGGTAGCACAAGCTTGGAGCACACTAGTAAATGTGAACTGATTAGGCAAAACAAAAGATCGCCTCATTCTATGAAACAGCTCCACAGCGTTCATGCTCTGATCACTTTGAGCATACCGTGCAATCATGAAACTCCAAGGAATCACATCCTTCTTAGGCATCTCCTCAAAAAGCCGCCGAGCACTTCCAAGGTCCCCAGACTCGACATACAAATCAAGCAAAGCAGTACCAACATAAAGACCCATCTCATATCGAGTTTTCAAAGCACACCCATGAACACTCTTTGCAACACCAAAAGCCTCTAATCCAAGACAAGCTTTAAGCACACTAACAAAAGTAAAATTATTTGGCTTGAGCCCAACAATCCTCATTTCATTAAACAAATCCAATGCCTCTTCAAAACAATCATTCTCGGCATAGCAAGTAAGCATTCCAGTCCAAGTAACCATATCCTCACAAACAATTCCGTCAAAAACTTCTCTAGCAAAATCAACATACCCACAAACAGAGTAGGCATCAATAAGTGCAGTTCCAACAAAAGAATTAGACTCGTGACCAAGCTTATATACAGAAGCATGAATACAAGAACACAACTCTGCCCACTCCATGCTCACAAGAACCTTCAAAATAGTAGTGAACACAAAGGGGTTAAGCTCATGACCTTCCCTATGTAACCTAGAAAACAATCCAACAGACTCAAAAAACTGAAACAACTGCGAATACCCCTGAATTAAACTAACAAAAGAAACGGTATCTCTCTGGGGCATTTCATCGAACAGCTGTCTTGCATTAACCAATAAATTTAACTTTACATAAACATTGAGAAGAATGTTAGTGCCAAACAAGTCTAGGCAATTACCCTTCTTCAGAACTTGACAGTGAATGGCCATTGCCGTTTTGGGGTCTTCGTTCGGGATACAGTTTTGGAGGGAAGAGCAGTAAGCACGAGCATTGAATTCTGAGGATTTTATTGATGGTTCCATATAATTGTCCCATTGTTGGGTTGATAGGGCTGCTTGAGCTGAAAACCCACGTATCCATGTCTTGATTTTACAGTGAGTTGCAAAATTCAAACATGAAAGTGTTCTGCAAAAGCTGAATAATCTTTCCATACGCCCTCGATTTTCCAGATCACTCAACAAACAAAAAAGGAGCTAAATTTGAATTTTTTTTTTTTTTTCCCCTCAAAACGGTGCAATTTACTGTTTCAAGTGAACTGAAACGGCAGCTAAATTCGCATTTAAATATTCCTTCAAAACTGTGCGTTTAGTTGTTTCAAGTGAAACGGCGTCGCTTTTATAGCTAATGTTGGAGCTAGGGTTTCTGTGGGTTTTATCAATAGTCTATATAAAGGTATCTTGTGGCCGCTGAAGTTTCATGTTCCACTGTACTGACTCTGAGTAGAGGAACAATATTGCTTTCAACTCACTTATTTTTCTCTGTTTATCCTTTTCTTTTATGTGTTAATTATCTTTTGATTTAAGAGAAGTTGGGTATCTGGGTCTGAGCATATGATGAAACATTTATCATACATAGCTGATAAATCCATGAAGCTTCAAAATTCGAGCTTTTTAAAACTGATGCTCAGTCCTTCACTTAACTCACTTCTTACCTCTCTTATATTGTATTGTATTGTTGTGTGTTTTTCATGTTCAGTCTCAACTCGTCTTTAATCTGTTTTACTTTGATTAATGTCAAACCATTCCCATATCTGTTTACTTGATGGTATTTCGTTTGGTCACAAAAAAAAAAATCTCTTATTGAAAGCGTAAGTTAATTTTATCTTCCCGTGTAAATCTGGTTAAAAAATTCATAATTCATATCCGGCAGTTTGGATAATCCGATCCAATATTATTGGTCTAGAGATTTGAAATCCAATCTTGATGAAATGGTTTAAAATTGGATTTTGAACACCCCAAAAAGTTTTACAGTGACTTAAACATAGAATTAAGTAGTTGAATACTTGTACTTACGATGATGCTGAGACAGTGAGAACATGAAATTGGCGTTGTGGTTTTGTGTTTCTGGAGACTACATCATAATAAAGACCAGTGATACCATGGGCTAGCTATAAAAGAAGTGGCCCAACTCTTAACTTAATGATGATTATTGGGCCGAAGCCTGGATTTCCTATCGTGTTTCGTAGATGAAATACAGAGTGTGCTATGGGTTTACTCTCTTTCAGTCTTCGCTCTAGAATAACAGTAGGGTTGCGTTTTATGTTAAAATTCCATATTAATTTTAAGTAATGTTACGTCAACAATTTTTTTTCACAAACTTCTCTTATAACTTGATAATTGTTGGTGGGCGGGTGGCTGGAAAGGGTGGAAAGAGTGGAAGGGCTACCGAAGGGCTACCGAAGGGCAGCGAAATTACGGTGAAGATGCCGACAGCGAAGGAGGGGCAGATGAAGAAGATGTCGTTTTTTAATAACATAATCACATTTACCATCTTATCCTTTTAAGTTAACGGACATAACTAATAGCTGGTGGTTAATTGTCGTTTTCAAACTGTTTGGATAATAAATTGTCGTCAGGGCAAACTATTGGTGGGAAGATGTCGTTTGGCCTTTTTCAAGAGTCCCAAAAATCGTATAGTAGCATAGCAGTCTAAAGCCGAACAAATCACGCAAAGTGTTGTTCAAATTTGGTAAACAATAAAAGCAACTGATACTGTTAAAAGAAAGGAATCAATGTACAGTACATTTAAACATAGTGCACGTTTGCAAAATTCATTACTCAACCTCCAAACTCATCTACCACAATTAAATCCTACTCCCACTCAAACCTAACTTTTAACCCATTCATGTTAAATTGTCTAACCACGACACCTCACATTCCTTTCCATTTTGCAGATAAAACATTATTTTACTAACAAGTTTTGAATGAAGAATCTTATGACACATGGCGTTAAATGGTCGGCTCCATTAATTTTCTTTTTCTTTTTTATTAAGCTGAAATTGTGTGGCTTAAAGCATCTTCTTCTGTTAATTACGTCTGGTACCTTTTTCTTTTTTCTTTTTTTTGGTTATGGGGAAATTAGGTTTTCATTTATCAGGAGATGGATCTTTTGCTTTGTTCAGCTTTTAGTCTCACCTCTTTTCCTCTGGCTTTTGTTTTGTTGCATGTGAGATTCAAAATTCTAAGTTAAAGTCACACATCACCCTAAGAAAAAATAAGAGTCAATAGTGGAGGTTCAAATTAAAGGTGGGAAAACATTGATTAAAGATTAGAATGCAGAAACAAATAAATGAATAGACTTTACCATTAAATATTATAATTATCTTTGGTAAAAATAAATAAATAGATATGACCAGTATAATTGTCATAAATTCAACCAATTTTCGATTGAAGGAATTCCTAAAAATTTATAGTCCCTTAACAAATGGTTATATTATGATATCCTACCATTTGATGTATGTGCTGCACAATCTTTTAATAATTCCTTTTCTAAACATATTAATACATATTTCTGTTAACCATCCCCTGAGTAGCCGAGTGATTGATTTAATAGAAACTCTTAGGTGTATATCTCAAGAGGTTTTGAGTTCGAATCCCTCTTTGGTTACTAATAAGAGTGGCTATTAGAACTCTTATCGGACCGAGAGTTCTAAGGTTCTAGGAGATTTATTGAGATGCTAGTAAACTAGCTCGGACACCCACGTCATAAAAAAAATATATACATATATATATATAGAGTAAAACTTCTCTATAATCATAATGGTGGGATGAACTAATTTTATTACTATGAGGATATTATAACTTAATAGAGTTGTGGTTACAAAAATTATTATTTTGATTTCTTATTTTATAATTTATGTTTTAGTATTACAATATTAGGATTTCAATTCATGTTTTAATAGTATTAGGATTTCAATTCAGTGCTTCAATTGTCTACTTTTGAAACGGATAGAAGATCGTGTCTTGAAACTAGCAAAAATAAATGTCATTGATGAAACTGTAAATGCAGTTGATGCATGGTCAATTGATGTGAAGCCACAGACAATTATCAATAGTTTTAAGCACTGCAAAATTAGGACCTTCGATGTCTCGATGAATTGCAAATTATAAATAAAGTGGATAAAAATAATAAAATAGTCATTATAGAATTGAGTGATCAAATTCAACAACTTCATTGCACTAATCGAATGGATATTAATGTCTTCCTCGATCATCCAAATGAGCAACAAATCATGTATATTTTAACTAAAGAATAAATCAATGCTGCAATTTAATAAAAATAGAAAAGAAATAATATTGAGAATGATAGTATGAAAATACAAAAAGTTTCATGCGACGAAGATCTAAACATATTTGAGAAGCTAAAAATATTTTGGCTTCAACAAGAACTTTAAAGCATAAATCATAAATCATAAATCATTATCTCAAACAACTATTGATAAATATTTTGTTTCATATTAAACCTTTAATTTAATATAAAATATATATTTTTGTAATATAAAAAATTATTACTACGTAGAGTCGGCTTTTCTTAAGGTAGGAATTAAAAAAATTATAACTTATTATAATGTGAAGTTTATTCTTATTTATAACTATCCCAAATTTAAATTTAAATTTTTTATGATTATGTAAAATTTATTCTTATATAGTGTATCATTATAGGGAGATTATATATATATATATATATATGGAGAGAGAGAGAGAGAGAGAGAGAGAGAGAGAGAGATTTCTGTTGCATAATAAATATACCATCTTCACATGACTTACCTATTTACTTTAACTGCATCATCCATCTACATCATTCTAAATGCATTTTATCCATTATTAATATTCACATTTTTTATCCGACGGCTAACAGTAGACGACCCACCGTATTTAAACTTATTAATAAACAAACGCATCCCCCATCAAACAAGGCGATGAAGACAACAACACATGCTAACCCAAATAACAACAATATTATATATGATTCAAAAAAGAGGTCAGTCGTATACATGTGACTTCAAACTTACATAAATAAACAAATAAAAAAAGAAAAGACAAACCTCCGTAAATTAAACGAATGGTCTAAGTCCACATTAAGACCCCTTAGGAAAGTGCAAGGAAGGAGACATATTTAAAGCCAAATTTCGAAACAACATTAATACTATAAACGTGGGTTGAAACCACAACACGCCGTCCCTACTTATAATAATAAAGCTTCTATTGCACTACTAGTATTATATTTGTATCTACCGAGTCAAAAGAGGCAGGCTAATACAACTATTTTTGCCTCACCTCCTCATCAAACAACATTACAAAGTTATATTTCTTCCTCTGTGCTGTTCCAGTCCAGGTCCCACGATGCTATTTTTAGGCGGTCCCAAACCGCGTATTAGGTTTAACAGCCATAAGGCGACACCGAAGTCAACCTGCAAATAGTTCACCGCCGCGTGTTATTTAGTATACTTTGAAAAATCTTGTGATTTCTTTGTCAAACACTTTTATTTGAAATGAAATTCAAAGATTACAAACACAGGTAAGAAGAAACACAAGAAAATCACTCCGACTTTATTGGGATTCAACATTTACTTGATTACTTTAATCTAAAAAATAATAAAAACTAAACGGGATTGTTGTTTCCCATGATTATCGCACATTGGGGATAGTATTTACCGCTACGTTGATTCGGATCAGAGTCCATGTCATTCCTGGTTTCCATGAAGCGAGATTTGTGTAAATAAATGGGATTTTTCAACTACTTAAATCTACAGGATTAATCATTCTTACTCGTGTCTATCTATGGCAACAGTTTTGATGGTGTTTTTGAAATTCAAAAGTTTCAGAGAATTAAAAATAAAAACGTAACCATGTACAAATGAGAAATCAAAATAGAGAATTAATTTCACAATATTCAAACAAAGAAAATAAGGCTTTCGAATGTGACATTTAAGATCATATTTACCCATGCAGCAAATGAAAGAAATTATTAGAGACTTGAATTATTACCTCTCTCTGCGTTTCTCGAGAAATCTCTGCAATGACTTTTTGCGAGCAATTGGGAGATCTGCAAATCACACCAAATTATTTCAAAAGTTCAATTAATCCTTCTCCTCCATGATTAAGAAAGAATACTAATAAGAATAATCAATGTAACAGAAACTAACCTCCGGTATTAAGAGTCTCTAGCAGCTGTTGTTGGTCGGTAGCAGTTTTTGAGTTTTTTGATTCTTCAGTTTTGGAGTTTCCATCAACAGCAAGTTTCAGAATGCATTCAGCCTGTAAAATTATTCCACTAACAATAAGAAACAACTCTTAACAGACAAAAAATAAATAAATTAAACAATTGAACACTCTTGTTTAGACAAACCTTGTCTCGAGGAACATCGTAAACGGTGACCGTTCCATTGTAGAAAATAGTCAGAGGAGCAGTTTCCGGAAGGTTCTCTGTAGCAGACCTGAGATACATATAAAACTACAATTAAATAAAAATATTTTTTCATGGAAAATAAATCAATTTTTCTTTATGACACAAACAGAAAGTTCTTCAACGAAACATTTTATTCAAGTACCTGGAAACGGAGATATGTTTAAAAAGAGGCAAAGCAGGAAAAGAAGCTGGCTCTTCTTTGGGAGTCGTCGGCATAGAAACCGGTAACTTCTTTGAATCAACAGTATTCACGGAACCGGAGGCAATAACAGATTTGAGTATTTCAGGATTAATCTTAGAAATGGCGCCCTGAAGGTCTGCAAAAACACATAACAATAAGTTCTAAACACAATTAACACAAAGAAAAAACAAATTAATCAGAAAGGGAGATTAGAAGGAGAAGGCACGTACCACGAAAGCTTCGTTGACGATGAAGAAATTTCTGGAACTGAGATTTAGAGGAAGCCATTTCTTTCCTCTCCATGCCAAAGAAATCAAGTTCAACTGTAGCACGCGACATTATTTTGTTGTTGCGGGGAAGAGAGAAAGTATGAGAATGGAATTCGAATAGTTAAATTGTGTGTTTTTGGGTTTGAAAGAAAGAGGACGATAACAACTTAAATGGGGAAGCGGGACAGAGAATAAAGAGACACGAGGTACACATGAGATGGTAGAAATGTTTTTGAGAGAGGCGCCTAGGGTTTGGGTTGGGTTTGGTTTGGCTCGTAAAAAGCACACGTCTTCCATGTGATGTCCGTGGCAACATCCAAAAATGTAGTCGGTCCCACTTGACTTTAAAGACGCAAGAGTTTAACTCAAGTCTTGTTTATCGGTGTTGGTCTTTATCAAATATTATAATATTAATTTTTTTCTCTGTCTTGGACTCAAATGTGATCGGCCAATTTTGTTCAGCATTGTTTGACGAAGTCGACGTCGTTCAGTTGCATTGTTAGACAATTCTATCCTTCAAATCTTTCACGTTTTTTTTAACTAAATAAAATAATGAAATTTAAATTTACAATATAATTAATAAATTTATTGATCATTTACTTTTTATACCAATCTTATGAATTTGGTTGCTTTAATTTTTGTTAAAGAAATGTTAATACGGAAAATCACACCAATTAAAAATACGTAAGATATGTGGGTAATCCTAATAGATTAATAATGGGATAATAAAATAATATTTTCACAATAATTAACATAAAGTATTAAAGAACAAATGCAAAACCTACTTCTATTGTCAATTTGTCATGTCATGTTATTGAATTTGCTTTTAAAAGTGAGTTTCTAATTAGAACTTTCTAACCTATTTTTGTCGACTCTCAAAACAGATCATAATTGAATTTATATAATGTCAATTACATAATTGAATCGAAGATAAACTCGAATTTAATTAAACAAGAAAGAGTAAGATCTTTGACTTTAAATCATGGAGTCTAATCGCAAGATATTTTTGTACCAAAGAAAGATTTATCCACTTCCAATTTGACACACAACAAGAAGATAAAAGGTAATTTGAGATTATCTACCAGTGATTCAAGAGTGATATTATCCATATAATCATATAATAATCAATTACAGCTAATTGCATCTCATATAAAATTTAGATTATATAATATTATTTATTCGAGGTACTATTTCGAATTTTTCCAAATAAAATAAACCTAAACAATTCTTTAGTTCATGGTATTATTCTGTCATATTCACTATAATGAATAGGTATAGGAATTAGTACTGTATCACAATAATTTTAAGAAAAGTTGAGGTATTATTCTGTCATTTAATGTATAATATATATATTCTAAAAAAATGTGCCGAAAACAGTAGGTTCTACTCCAGTTGGCATATGTTTCCATTAAATTTTTCCTTATAGTTAAACGCGGAAATTAAAGATTTGGCTCAAATTTGTGTTGTTTATTTAATATTGTTGAAAAAAGGACATTATTGTAAAATCTCAAAGGACAGCCTATTTCCTTAATTAATTAATTGATTAAACTAGCGGAATTGGAAACAGTGGGTTGTTAGGAAATAAGGGAGTACGAAAAGGATATTTTTGTGTTGCATTTGGTCCTCGTGCCACAGCAGGTAACGTGAACCAAACGAAAAAACTCAAAAATCACGTGATTAAAAACCTCTCAGATGCTTTTTCTCACGTGTTTAAATTCAAAAGGTCATTCTCGCTTTAATTTTGTAAGCGTGACGGCAAAAGTTGTCGCACCGCCAACGCCAAGTCCATCTCGTGAATCCACATGAAAACATCTCCTATCTTATATTTCATCATTGAACGGCGCCGTTTCAATTCTAAAAAATAAATAAAAAAGCACCGCAAGACGCAAGTCCTCAACATTTAATTTAAACGTGTACGGGAAGGGACTCACGGCGTTAGTGACCCCACCGTCAAGTTCGTGATGTTTACCTAATCTGATTGTGGGGTCCATGGGGAAGCGAACCGACGCTTGTGCTATAAATTCTGTTTTTCTTGGGTAGGCGATTTCTTTGAAATTTAAATCGAAAAAATAATATTTATGAATTTAACGTGCTCTAACGGAAAACGAAATAAATGCCAAGTGATATTATCACGAGTTGGTGAACTCAAATTTGTATTTATTTTTTTCCACAAATAAATTTATTATTATTTTATGAGTAAACAACATATTTTCACATGAGGTTCAACGAAATCCTTAGTTAATACCTAGTGTCATTAATTCCAAATACCCACCTTTAAAGTAAAATCAATTCATTTATTTTAAGAGTTAAGGGCTAAAATGGTCTTTTTCTATCTTCCCTACCCAGTTTTTTTCTCATATCCCCCTCCTCCTCCCATCTTCTTCTTTTTCCCTCCACTACTGTCGGCTTCATCCACCCACCTTCATCAAAACCCCATCACCCCTTGACCGCACCAGCTCGTCGTTTGCCGGTCGTCCTCGACTGTTTTCTGGCACTTTTCGGGGACAGAACCCCTACCCCATTTTACGACTACCAGACAGCTCAACATCCCAACCCACTACCCCCCGACCACCTTAACTCCCCTTTTTTCTGTCACTCTTCATCTCAAGTGTTACACTCCACCAACTTCTTTTCGGCCAACTCTATCACCAAAAATCTTCATCAAGTCCACCATTCGACTCATCGAAAAGCCCTCTCCAATAACCCCACGCTTTTTGTCCCCCATTTCTCACATTTCAATGCTGATTGAAGCCCCCTCTCCCTAGGGTTTTTAGTTTGTATTTTTTTTTTTATTGAAATGGTGTGATTTTAGGTGGTGGTTGTTGGATTTGGAATGGGGTGGTTTGGCCGATCGTAGTGTTGTTTTGGACAATTGTGTGGTGATTTTGGGATGGGGTGGTTTGGCCGATCGTAGTGTTGTTTTGGACAATTGTGTGGTGATTTTGGGATGAGGTGGTCTGGAATCGACTGTGGTGGTGGTTTGGAATGGGTTGTAGTAGTGATTTGGCCGACTATGATGATGGTTTGGAATGGGGTGAAGGATAGTTTGGTAATAACATTCGTCATAACCCAACAGTCACTAACTGTATTACTTTAAAGGTGGGTTATCAACTTAGGTTTTCGTTAAACCTTGGGTGGGAATATGTTGTTTACTCTTATTTTATTAAAATAATAAATACATTAATGGATATATTCAAACGGCGTGATTTATGTGAGATGGTATTAAAATTTATCTTAGTTATAGTCATAGCTATGGTGCCTATTGATAAATTATGTACTTGTACTTAATTCAAGGTTCACTAATAAGTCCACAACTTGTTATAATATAAAAATTTCATTTAATTAATTTAAATTTTAAAGTTGGTGATAAAGTGGGTGTCTAAATAAAATATTCAACACTATATAAATCTTTTAAATAATTGAAGGAAAAAGCATACATAAGAACAATTTTTTTTCCTTTTTATTTTATAATACATATAATTAAAAAAAGGTGATGGGAAAGCTAATGTTTATTATTATAGTTTGAACATGATTTGTGTATAAACAAACATAATACTCGGATCTTTGATCAATGATCATGTTCATGTTGAACATTATTCATTTCACTTTTTTTTAAAGATTCACATGTCTCTAGCATTTTTCTTGTGTTTTCTTTAATTTTCATAGGTATTATACCAAACATCCTCAAAAATCACGTCGTCCTTACTTTGACTCATAAAAGTATTCAAACAATTTTTCTTTTTAAATAAATAATTGTACTCTAGAACCATATAATGTGACTAAATTATATCCACAAATAATCCTATAAATGTTAGGCACTATGGGATTCTCGTATGTCATTTTCCTAAAAATAAATGTATTATAAAATCTACACGTGTTAGGTATAAATATAATATATTAGAGCCCCTCAATATTGTTATATTATGATTATTCATGAATTATGATATAAGAGAAATATACTATATAATTATGTTACATTCGTGAAAGTTGTCATTGAAATTCGGTGTTACATATTAAGATTCTTATTCTGGTCAATATAAGTTAGTGAATTTAATTTGCTTTTAAATTATGATATGAAAATGAATAATACTACATTTAAAAAACATGTATACAAAGTAATATATTATTTAGTACCATTTAATATGCATTTATTAAGTTGACTTTTATATTAATACATTCAATTATATTTTGACACGTCACTTTGTGTAAAATCTTTGTAAATGTAAATATTACTCTATGTAAATTCACATCCTAATATATATTCATGCTTGATACATATAGAACCTAGAAACACTGCTAAAGTGATGTAGTATATAGTTGATATATATTCATGCTTGATATATATAGAACTTAGAAACACTTCTAAAGTGATGTAGTATACTAGTATATAGCTCGTAAAATAAGATCATGATTATTTAATTTAATTTATTAATTTATAAGATAATCTTCAATTTAATTGCTTAAGAAAATAATTACAACACTATTTAAATGTGATCATTTTGTTTCCTAAAAACATTATCATCTTATTAATTATAATAATAAAGATGTTTAAAAATAATCATGTTGCTGCCCAGGATCGAACTAGGGACCTTCAGTGTGTAAGACTGACGTGATAACCACTACACCACAGCAACTTTGTTGTTCAAAAATTGATCCAAATATTTAATATTGTAAAATGTGATCCCATTCTCCCATGAACTCACTAATGAATATTTAATAGGGTTAAAACTTAAAACTATTCAAATCGCTGACAGATAGGAAATTATGAAACACAGCTTATAACTAAGAGGATTAGAATAAAGAAAAATTTTCACAATAAAATAAAAATAAATATTTTAACTTATGCTGTTTCTTGTGTATAAGTAAAAAGTTAAGGGTGCGTTTGGTTTATTATTTTAGATAAGATTTTGGAGATAGTATTGGATAGTTGAATAGAGTGATTATTACGAGATAAAATTTAAAAAATTACAAAAAACCCTATAGGTTTGCTAATTTAACTAAACACTCAAATATAAAAAAATTTTGTAAAATAACAAAAACAGCCCCACCTACCAACAGTGCCAGATTTCGGCCACCACCGCCAGAATCTGGTGTTATGGCGTAAATCGGTCGGATCTGGCCGAATGTGCGTGGATCTAGCCTTTTCTGGCAAGATCCACCACAGATCTTGTAACGCCCCATTTGAGGTACGTAGTTAAGATTTGGTGTATTACTTAAATGTTCATTGATCCAGCTTTAATTAA